ACTGCATTGAGTTGCATCAGTAAGTAATAAATGGATAAGCTTACATGGTCATACTAGTGTATTGTATCAGTGTACCTGTACTGATATGTCTACTTTGATTATTTACCATGTTGGAGCACTTAATACGGCCATTTCACAGTAGTGCACCACCATGAGTTTGCAACATGTTGGCCAATCACAATGCGCGAAATTTGTCGACCCAATGTGCGTTTGGAAAGGGTCTACGAATTTCGTGCGTTATGATTGGCCAACGTGTTGCAAACTCTTTGTGGCGCACTGTTGTGAATCGCCCGTATTGTACATCAGTGTACATGAACAAGTGCAGGGTACTGTCAGCACAAGTACAGGTGTACAGTACATGTACATTACATGTACATGTACATATTCAGTATATATGTACATGTATATGGTGCATATGGTGTATACATGTACATGTATGTGATCCAGTATTTGACAAATGAGTCGTTGCAATTGCTTTACAGCATGCAGTAAACTTTTCCCCTCTTTTATTAAATAGTCATGTCTGTATGTTGTTTACAATGAATAGTAGACATGAACAGTACATGTACGAAGAATGTATTTTCCAACCAGTTACATGTGCTACGGTACATGTCTATATTTGTGTCACTCCGGCTACATGTACATAAACAGTTCCATGCATTATAGTGTATTCTTACATTCTGTCTTTTACTTGTAGGCTGACTACTCCCAATTGTTTTGTTTATCTTTTGCCTCAAATTTCATTCACCATGATGCCTTCTCGTTCAGTTTATGTTATGTTTATGATTAAGAGAGAAACTGTGAAGTTGGTGTTTCGACACCATACCAATATCTGTCCATCCAACTCTGGCATAAAATGAAGGCCTTCTCTCCCCACTTCCTGCCCTAAAACCACCAAATATGGCCATGATTGGCAAGCATCCTCACTGAGTTTCCTTCAAAAAAAATGGGGATACTGGGTGACAAGTAAAGGTCAACCAACATCCATACATGTATGTTGAGTGTCATCACTCTCTGTGAAACCCCAGATGTATTCACTGTGAAAACTTTGGTGCCGGTATTTATTAGGGCCCCGCCATTGGTTGTTCCAGAAGATTGAGGTCTGGAACAGTGTGCGCATCCATTTTTTTGTACAGGATGATACCGTATGCTCATTGATCAAGAACATTCACTGGACATGTCATTTGGGTGGCTTTTTTTTTTACTAGTGCCATGATAAATTATCACAAACATCTCCAAAAGTTTTATTATAAACCAAAAATAATCAGAGGAATTCCATGCAGACAGTTACCAGTCCCAGTACATGTACATTGACAAATTGAGAATGCATTAAGAATTTGCATATATACTGGTATATTGATTCATTATATTTTCTGTAGATGAACATTTGAACCATTAGTTAATTAATTTCTGATTTTACTGAACATACATGTACATGTACGGTTGACTGAGATTCTATTAGAAAGAGATATGGCACATATGAATATGTACACATGCATGTTGCATACATGTACAGTAGTTACTCTGATAAACAAATGGGCCTGTCAATTTCTGCTACATGTACGATGTAGTTCTAGGCACGATTTTCCATAGTACCTGTATACAAGCGTCACTGGAGTAATGTGTGGAAAAGAATCTACCAGCTGGGCTCGCAGAAAATGCCACAATTTTTCTCGCCGCCTTGGAATTTCAAAAAGGGCATTCCCGGCACGGCTTCCATAGTTGGGCAAGAAAGTAAGTAATTGAAGCAGGTTCGGGAGGATATGTTTACAGTTCAGAGAACACTTTCTTTTTTATCAGATAAGAAAAAAAAAGCCACAGATATCTGAAAGATTTACGTGTAATTAGTTAATGCATACTTCTACTGTATGTATGCATGCAATTAGTGGAAAGGGCTTTAGAATCATCTCATGCGCTTTGATGACACATTAAAGTCCCCAAACAAAGGAAAAAGAAAGATTATTACGTGCATATGTACATCTGGAAAGGGACTGGATATTATATGTTTGAATATGTGGACACACTTTGTTACATAATGTTTACATTTGCATTTGGAATTCCTAGGAACTGTGAAAGCATGGGAAAGTCCAATAAAATTCCTGGGAAATGGCATTTTCATTTTTGTGTCATTTTCCTGTACATGCACCTGTATGGATGCCAAGATTTTTAGCCATTTATTGGGGATTTCCAGTGACCTTTGAGTCAACATGTGTTTTAGTTTTCCTGGAAGGAAGCACACAACAATAGATATCTCTGAAGTTTGACCCAACACAGGAACAATAATTTTGTACCGCAAGCCACTAAAAAAGTGTGTTTTTTTTCTACCGGTATATCTGATGCAAAATTCTGGATCTGAAGTGTTGGATTTCTTCCAGCCTTTGATCCAGAAAAGTTAAAAGTTGGATCCACTCCTAACATATATTACCAGTACATGTACATCATCAAATCTCAAATGAAGACAGGTGAGAACTTGTGAAATCTTCCCTGACTTCTCTTCTTGTCAATTACCATTATGTATGTAGTTTTTGTAAGTTAAGCTTCACATCTCATTGTGGGCTACATGAAGAGCCATACTCATTGAACACATGTACATGTAGCAGTACCTCGTGCACATACATGTACATGTACATACATGTACATGTACTAGATGCCACTGACATGTGTACAGCGCCCATGTACATGTACATTTATGATATGAACATGTACATGTCCATTTACATGTACATGTGTACAGTACATGCACATGTTTTTACCATAAGCAGTGATAAGAGAGAGAAAAATGCAGGTATTTCCTTTTCAATCAGTGTACATGGAAATCCTGAATTTCATTTGGAATTGATATTTTGGGGCTTTCCAGATCATATCTATATTAAAAACTTCTTTCTGAGAAGAAAAGGTTGAAAAACTTTGGTTTCGGTTTTAAACTTATTCCAAGATTCATCAAGATGTACCTTGTGCTTTCAAAGAGTTTAAACTGTTTGAGTTGGTTTTTAGCTGGAATATCTCTGGAATTCCCATATTTGTTTTTCTTCCTCACTTTGAAACTACAAGATACTTGTGTAAGACGTACTTTTGGTTGCTGTAGAAGTGAAAAAGCATAAGTCATTCAAAAGAATTATTTCCTTGAAAAAGTGTGCAACTTTCTTTTTCTAAATTATGACAGATTTTGATAGTTACATATACATGACATGTAAAAGGACTAGCTCATACATGTATAAAGTTTTGCCGAAATATTCCCAAATAAATTCCCTCTTTGAAACTCAGAAGTTTGGTTTCCATTGATGCACTGGTACATGTACCTGGTAGAGACAGTAGCAGTTATGCCAAAGACTACAATGTACATGTAATTTCAGTGGAAAAAATGTGTGAAACCCAGACTCTGTTTTCACTCTTACTCTGTACATGTCCTGGTACCCAGGGAAGTACATTTACCGTACTCTACACATGTACATGTACATGCACAGTGTTCAGTATGTGTACGTTCTATGTACATGTATACACTTAGAAAAAGTACCGTATATGAACCTCGCAAAACCGCTTCCATTTTTGTGTGGGGATTCCCACATATAGAAAATCCAAGATTGCATTTACCTGAAAAAAAAACACAACTTTTCACAAATTCTTTTAGATTTGAGGGTAGAAAAGAGTGTATTGTGTTATGATACCGGTACATGTATATTTTAAATCACACCTTAGACACTGGTTGTAATGTTAGTGTCTTTCTGCTCTTGAAAAAGCAACAAGTATTTTTTGCTGGTCCCCAGTTCATGTTGTGTTTGAAATGAGACAGAGTTTTCAGTTCTGTTAGTCTTCACAGAGATCTTGGATAGAAATTATCTTAATACACGTACATTGTTTGGAATTGAATAAGACACACAAAAAGATGAAATCCACTTGCGTCTGTCAATAAAAGCTCAGTGGTGGGTTGAACTTGCTTATTGCAATGACTTACTGTAGTGCTGTTGGAAATATCAAAATCTTGCAGAATTTTGCAATGTTGGCTTTTGTGGAGGAAACACACTGCACGCTTGCCACTTTGAATGACATTTTATTACTTTGTTTTGATACATTTCGTTACATTGTAGCTGTACTTTTTTACAGCATTTCTGATTTCACTAGCCAACTTATAACCAGGAAATTTCCTACAAGGATTTCCCCCATTCTCGATTTTGAAATATATTTGGACGTCCTTTTACACACAATTGAAAATGTGCTAAAAGTCTGGTTTGTATGGGATACCGATTATTACATTGTTGGGTTTTTTTTTTCATCACCATCCTGTTTTAATTATTCTAAAGGGAAAAATCACCCTGACTTATTCAACCTTTTACCCAGTACATAAATGATTCACCCTGTGATAAATAATTGGCAAGACGATAAATCAAGCCAAGCTAAGCCTTGGCTCACCACTTGCCACAATAACAACTGTTTTTCTAGGCCGCTTGGACCCGGAGTTTTCCATTAAAACCAACAGATAATAATCCCTAAATTGTTTATCCATTTGGCATTTCTGAAAGCATGGGTCATTACGCCTATCATCCCATTTTCGAGATTACATTCGTGGCTTCATGCTGCTCCGTATTCTTAGGAATAATATCAACATTCCTAAGCCTGGCTGCACAGAGAAAAAATTCTCCTTGATACAAATTTGGTTTATGCAAAATCTATTTTTTGGGGCTGGGTAAGTCCATTTTGCTCAGTGGGGGAGTGTAGCAGCTGATGGGTGAATTGTTGTGTAATTTTGTACCCAGTCACTGAAATGCAAAATCTTTTCCGATATTAAGTTTATGTTGATGTACACGTATCGGTACATGTACATTAAATGTGCAAAGGCAACATGTTACTTTCCCTGTTTTAGGCAGAATTGGGAAGCAAAATTCTGGAAAGGAGAGTTTGAAAATCAATTCTGGATAACGACACCCTTTTCAAAACCACTGAAAAAAATTGAGTTGGTTTTGGTATGTTTTTCATTTTATTCATCAAGTTATTATTTATCTTTGAAGAGATTCTTTTACTCGTCAAAGCAACTCAGGAGACGTTTTGAAATATTCTGAAATTGAAAATTAGATACAGGTGCACAAACTGCCCCGAAGTTATTGGATTTATCCTAATTCGTTCCAGACAAAAACACAAATACATGTAGGTCAGTTTACAGGCAAATCCAAGTCCAGTCTGCAATTCCAATTTCTACAGTTATTCACCTTGGAACGGGCCCCTAAAAATGTACAGAATGTCCATAGGCGCATATCTGAATTCTGTGGAATTCCATAAAGCAGCTAACAAGCTGAAGCTGGATTCCTCTCTTGCATGATATTGGATGTATTCATTTGCATTATGATGAGGTATCTCAATGAATCATTCATGAGTTAGGGTCACTGTCAGTACAGTAGGTGTCACACCAATATAGCATCATGCTGGTTTTTGAGTACATGTACTGTATGTGTGCAGATCCCCATATGTGTCAGTAGCTCATGGATTATTCATGACTGGTTATTCTGGAAGACAGTCACGCAGGCTGTACTATTTTGGTTCGGGATGCCGTACTGTGCAGTTGACACTAGGCAAAGTTCTCGGTTGTGCATTGAATGGACTGTCAATAACTTCTGATTTGTTAGGTGTACATGTACACGTGCAATGTATAGAGATTTTGCCTAGGAGGTGAGTTACTTACAGTTTTAGTTACACTTGAAGGGGATTTCTTCCGTAGAAAATCTTAAAACCATTTCACTATCTAATAAATTGAGAAAAGAGCCAATTTGTTTCTGTCATTTGATAAGTAAGACTTGTGTATTGTTGTACATGTACATTGTAATGTACCTACCCTTTCAAAATGTTCAGTCTGTGTCTCTGCTGTGCTCGTATCAGTTAATATTGGTGACATGTGTCAGGAATAAAATTCTGCCCTATCAATCAATCAAGCTGTCAGTTAGTTTATTGATTTATTTGTGATAAGAAATTAAAAGGGTATTGTTCTTGCCTAGCTGGTGAGTGTGTGTGGACACAGATCAGTTCACGTCCAGATAGAAAGCATGTTAATTTTTGTTGCAGTTATTCATCTTTTGCATATGTAAAATTAGATTTTTCTCAATTAAGGATAAACCACAATTCAAAAACGTAAGTAAAGCTGATATGTTGATCAGTGGGACCAGGATCATTACCATTTTATTCATGTCCATTTTATTATCCATCAAATCAGCACAGAAGTGTGAGGGATACCCATGTGGGCTGCCTATCGGCAAAGGCAGAAACCCACTACATGTACCTGTACCGGACTCCCCAGCCCAGTTATTCCATAATTACCACATTTTCTCTGATACTGACATCAAGCGTCTACGTGTAGGTGTAATGTATCCAGCACGCACCGCTGTGAACCGGCTTGGCTAGTACCGTAGCTAGCAGTTGTTGAATTGGATAAGAACCTCACAAAACTGTCGGCCACCATAGAAAAACAAAACTTGTTGAACTGGATTTATTAAAACACTTGTCTTGGTCTCCTACGAACTTTTACTTGCTCATGTACGGTACATGTACGTGTCATTTTTTTTAAAATGCATACACATTTATGTACTGTTTCTACACATGTGCTGTTTAATTACTTGTAGACATTGTTTTCTCTGAAAAAAAATTGTTTTAGGGTGGGAAGGGAAGAATGTTTTTAATGTACACGTACATGTTTGATTTTTTCCGTTTCCTTTTATTACATACATGGGTAGATACGCATATGTGCACCAATATAAACATCGCCATTGGTCTAGTTGCTGTCCCCATCTGAAGGGAAAAAAACAAATTTTTCAATTCTCAATTTACCGTCAGCGAAAAATGTACGTGTAAGACCTTATAATATATAATTATTAACCCTCCTAGTGTTTTAACCGTCAAACACAGTCAAAAATGCCTTCCAATTGATTTCCCCCAGAACAAAGACACATATGGGAAATTTGACTGATTTTGACTGATATGACAACTGTGTCAAGAATGCATCAAAGCACAGGAGGGTTAATAGATCAAAAAACAGAAAACTGCACAAAGAACAAGAAAAACGCTTTGTAGCTGTTTTCATTTTGGTGAGCATTTTGGAGTAATGGTTGAATCGAATTGCACAGACTGACTGTACCAGTTCTGAATTTCAACAGCGCATGCCCAAAATGAAATGTACCGGTACCCGAAGTCATTGAGATGGGCCAGCAAGGTCTGTCCAATCAGCACCGCCCTACGCAGACTTGCATGTCTGCCTTATTACGGATTGACTGTGTTTTTTTATTTAAATAACTGAACTGGCTCACTTGCAAGTGATCAAGGACAAATAGGTACATGATGTGTACATGCATTTTAGGCAAAGGGGAGTTTGTGTGTAGGCTGGCCATCTTAAATTAAAAAAGGAAAATGTCTTCCTTTTTTTTCAGGAGATAATTCAGGATGTCATTTTTGTCATCCCTTGCAGGAACTATGCACTAAAACATGAGGCAGAAGTCAACCACCTGGGACATTGATGCTGCACCCTTCCGACGAAATCACCATGAAGAAGTTAACGTTGAAACTGGATGCGATTTGCGCAAAGCTGAAGGAGGGACTTGCCGGACCTCTGGCGGATGGCGCACCCATCAACGGTGTGTCACTAGAGTGCCGGGGTGTCCCCGTCACGGAACATTACTCATCTTCTTCTCCCAGGAAGGAGATCTTGAACGGGTCTGAGAGTGGCGTCTCGCCCTGTCTAAGCGCCAATGAGCTGGACAGCGAATCTGTGAACAGTCAGGATGAAGGGAACGAGGAAAATGGGTTCCTGGACACAGACACACCCATGAAGACAGGCCTGCTCAATGGCCATGTGGACACAACCAAGGTACTCAGTGGTGCAAGCAAGCGTAAGGCCAGGCTAAAACTGGCTCCCCGCCGTTTCTTGGACTCGACAGATTCTCACCTGCCGCATGAGAACGGCTACTCAGACTCACCACTGGTGGACAGAACATATCCGAGAGGTGCGGGGTCTTCAAAGACAATCAATGGAGGATGCAGCAACAAATCTCAGGGAAGTAACACAAGCGATTCAACCTCTATGCAAATTTCTTTGTCTCGTCGGGACCTGGACCTGGACTATCAAGGCAATAATTATTTTCACAGATCAGCAGCCGACGGCACCCTCAGTGACCCATCAAGCCCAGGCGGTGAACAAGGGCAGGATGCCACACCGCTTTGGTACGCAGACGATTCTCCAAGCGAGAACAGTGATTACTTGGACATCTACCCAGAGGAAGACGGGGACGATGAGGACAGTTTGGGGGAGCTAGACACAGCTCCTAACCCAGCAAACTTGAGCAATCTGAAAGCAATACAGGAGTATGCCGAGCGGAGCTTGACGGAGGACCAAACGGGTCAGCCGATTGAGGAGGGCCTGGCTACAAACGACGTCATCTGTGAACTTGCCGAGGAAGGGGGAGCAGAGGAGGCAGAACCCTCGTCAGTGATGCAGGAGGAGATGGAAAGGCCCTCCCTAGACACAATGAGCAAAAACACCAATGACAATGACGAGGACAAAGATGATGAAGATTACGCTGTCCCAACAGACTCTAGGCCCATCCCCTTGAAGATACCTGTCATTGGCAAAAGGGACAAGCATGGAAATCCGTACGACCCATCAGCCGTGCAGGAGTACGCCAGTGACACCATGAATGAACTCATAGGAATGTACGGGTTTGAGGAGGGGTCCAATCCAGACATTGCAAAGGATGTGCCATTAGATTCTTTCAGCTTTAGTAAGTACATTTCCTGTAAAGTCCATGCACTTGTTGCTTATTTGGATATGACATTAGTGTGTGCACCCCAGTCTCTTTTGCTGCTTAATCTTGTCTTTCTCTCTGTGCTCTTGAGCAGTTTTTGACATTGAGAACAATACTTTTCTTGCTATTCATGGTGACAGACAACTAAGGTGGAAAGCTTGCGGTCGCACCATGCAAGGATACGATCTCTTTGTGAGTCTGTATGATTCTGAAAAGAACTGTGAGGAAACTCATTTTCGTGAGTGAGTTTCCTCACGGTTCTTTTCAGAACCATACAGACTCACAAAGAGATCGTATCCTTGCATGGTGCTACCGCAAGCTTTCCACCTTAATACTTTTCTTTTGTACTGGCCTGTATTCAGCCTTTCAACGGTTACAGAGTCAAACTTCCTTGAGACTTTAGTTGAACATACTGTACGTGTATATATTTACTGGTGCATGTGTTAAGACTTGTGGAAAACCGTATGATCATTATTTTTAGGGGTTTGCATCCCCTTTCCACTCTCCAGTAAAGCTGCATTTCAAATATACATGTACATGTCCACCCAGGTGCCCCGGGAGCCTAGCTTTGAGTGCGCATTCTCATTTGGGTACATGTATTGCAAAGCCTTCTTTGCACAATCTACAGTCTAGTACATGTAACCATACATGTACGGACCTCGTGGCATTGTAAAGTTTTGTGTCTGCATCACTCAGTGCCGATCTCCACAACTCTGTGCCCCAAGTGATATCCAGAAACTTCACATCAAAATGAACATTCAAAACTCCAAGAAAACCTTGTGATTATTCAAACTCAACGCCCAAATTTCGGGTAGAGTTACTTCCACCGAGTTGGCAGTCAAGCAACCTGCCTGGTGCACAGACTCCTCAGCTCGTAACACTTACACATGCAGAGTGTGTAACTCTTTCTCCAGCTGAGGGTCTCGAGTCCGGTACCGTAGCCTAAACAGACGGCCGTAGGGCATGTAAGCCTAGCCCCCGTGAGTCCTCAAATTGTGAAAACACGGAGTTGGTTTACCGACAAGAGAGCAAGGATGTTATGCACTTCGAGAAATCCAGACTTGAATAATTAAACTGAATTGTGCCAGCGGTTGCCTCCTCTTTGTGTGAAATGTAGAGAAAAATTCTCTCCATTATTTCAACACTCACAAAGTGCTAAATGGTATAGTATGCAAGTCATGGCTGTAAATGTAAATATCCCATCGACGAATACAGTAATCTTCCTGTCAAGTTTTGTAATCAAATCGCACTTTACAGACCCGTACCTGTACATGTACATTACTTGGTTAACAGTGGAACTACCATTCCCTATTTGTCAACTCCTCATATTGGAAAAGCATTTTGACCCGTGAAGCTCATTTTCTGTTGGCATTTACATGTATTTGTTTTGAGAGTGTTTACGCAGTATATTCTTACAAATACATGTATTTTTTGGCTCGCACCGTTGTGTAGATCTTCGTTTGTTGCACTTGTGGTTTGTCCAGTCTGAATATGATTTTCAATTTTAGGAGAACTCGGGGGGGGTGGGAAATAGTTGAGAAATACATTGTACTCTTACATGGACATGATGGGCTGCACTTTACAAGACTTCAAGAAACATACCGGGTACGTGTTCGTGTCCAGTTTGATAAATGTGCCATTTGCTCATGTGCGGTACATTTACAAGTTTCTGTGTACACTGAAAATTTCAGGCTTGAAATTTTTAAGAGTACACTACATGTAGCATACCATGGAGCTACGCGCATGCATGAGTATACCCACACTTAACCTGTTACGTAAATACATGACCATTGGAATGTACATGTACCGCTGTAAGTCCGTCCTTCCTTTCGCATACAATGTACATGTATTGTACATTGCGTTGTACACACTTGTGCATACATGGGAATTTTAGTGTAAAGATACCTACGAGTGCAGTATGTTTTATTTTCTGAGAATGACCCTCAAAAGTCCCTAAGCCTGCGTATGCATGCACAAGTATTTGATTTTTAATCTGAAAGCCTATTAGTACATGTACATGGACACGTGTAGTTCAGTGCCAGACCTCATTTAAAAGGTTTCCTTTTTTTCCCCCCAACATTTACCCGCGGGATATTTAGTCCATTGCCTTGTCTTAAACTGATCAAATATTCATAGCTTAACCACTGGTATGCAGCAAATATGCATAATTACGTGTTCGTTGCACACAGTTCTTGCACAAATTGCACGCAGCGTGAAATGCCGCACAGGATCACTTGTCTTGCCAGACTCGTCCCTGGTGCAGAAGATGAATTTTATTCCAGGAGACAAGCTCATTTTCTTGTTCCACGTTAAAAGTAACAGCACAAGTAATTCTGGAACACACGTACATGTACAGTAGACCTCTGTAATGGTACTCCGTGGATTAGTTTCACCAGTATTTGTGTTCTGTGTACATGTATGGTTTTTGAAGGGTGATAAAAAAAATATTGAGAATTTTAGTATCTCAGGGTATAGTTCTCCAACTTCATATCAACACTAAAATAGATCACCTGAAAAGATATTAAAAATTTCATTGCATCTTTACACCCTTCCAGATCTGTCAGAGAAAAGATCTTTCATCCCTCAATTGCTATTCTTAAGGAAAACATAGAGATGTGGCTTTTATTTGAGTGGTGGCATTCTGCGTCCGTGGGCTTAGCGAGCTGTCGTTCCCACGGCGAAAAAGACTGACCATGTTTGGTATGCAGTAAAGGACAAAGTTAATTTTTCCAGCGCAGGGGCCGGTGTGTGTGTGTGTGAAGCCGGGAGATTGTGAGTCATGTCTGAGATAACAGACATTTTCAGGATCATTTGGTTTCTGAAAATGGAGATAACTATTTTTGACCGTGGTCAGTTGATTATTTTTTTTTAAGGGGACTGGGACTTTTTAAAGAAGAGTTCAACTATCACAAAAATGTATGAAAGTCCTTAACAGCCGTGGAATGAAAACTTGGATGTTTAGATGTAAATTCTTCAAAGTCAACTGCTTAAAAATCACAAAACTATTAGGCACCATTGCAATTTTCGGTCTTCTTTTTTTTTTTTTTTATTTAAAAGCAATTCCACTGCCTGTGCTGTACATTTGTGCATGCACAAGCACACGTACATGTGTATGTGCATCTGCTTTTTAAAACAAAAGAAATTGAGAATCACTACTGCATGCCGACAACGTGAATGAACTTTACAAGGATGGAAAGGGTTGGAATCAATCTGTAGATTCAGTTTATGTCAAAAGGAAGGACGGGAGGAAGGAAGAAGTTTTCAGGATCTGATATTTACATGTGTGAGTGAACATTGAATATGTTGATCTCTGACATCGGTGAAAGCAAAATAAAGGACTACTTCTCATTGTTTTCGTGTTTTGGTTCCAGTATACGCTGATACAGGACGCAGATAGCTGGAGTGCCACATGTTTAGCTTCATTCCCAGCTTGCCATTTTCACGCCTCTAATTTGGCCTTCTGAGCAGCAAATTTGGAAAGATGACAAAAATACTTGCAGTTCATCTTCAGGCACCATCATAAATAATTCCCTTCCACTGCCTCCCTTGGTCGGAAAAAAAAAAAGGAGACAGAAAAGATGAATCAGTTTCACTAAAAGGCCCTGTCCACTAATCACGTAATGGAATTAAAGGAATCCAATCGCAGTAAATGAATGGCCCGACCCAAGGTCGGCAGCGCAGGGAGGAAAGCACAAAAAACGGCGATTATTATTTCTTGTTATTAATGGCAAGGATAATAAGCTGCGTGTGTTTGCGCCCAGCCTGGTGAGCAATCTCATTTTGTCCGTTTGTTATGAATATTGGGTAAATTTTGACCGATTGGTATGAGGCAGATTAATAAACAGACCTGGAGGGGAAATTGAATGTCAGGCTGCTTCAGTGGTTAGCTGATATTCCAGTGGTGTACATTTTTTTGGTATTCCTTGGTTGATATACATGTATGTACATGTTCTGGATTCTCAGTGTTTTCTTTGTATTGTAACGTAAAGTTCTTATATTTCCCATTTTGTGTTCTAAACAGGATATTATGCAGGTGTTGGATGAATAATTGATAAGGTCATAAAACAAGCTGGAACTTTCTGTTTTCCATAGAAAATATACAGAAAATGGAAGAGAAGAATGCGAGTGAACGTAAAAAAGATGCCCTCCAGAAGTACATCCATCGACACGCCAACCTCCATGTCCCAGATCTGACCCGGTTTCATGGAGCACGCTCCAGCACCTCTCCAGAAGACACTGGTTCCCAATTGCCTCTGAGTACCTGTGACAGTAGCGACATCCCCAACCAGGGCAGTCTGCTCGGGAGTGATGCCACGCCACAGTTGGCCTCGCAAGCTGGCGTCGGAGGCAAAGTGGCCTCGTTACCGCAGGCTAGCGAGCCTCAGTCTAAGATGAGACTTGCCCCACCGTTGGGGAAGACAACAAAGACCGTGAAGGACCTCATCAATGAGCAGAAAGGGAGAGAAGAAGGGGCAGAGTTAGAGGAGGGGGATGAAGATTTCCGACCGCGACGGTTCTCCAAGTACGACTTCTTCATTCAGAGCTTAGAAGCAGGTACGACTTTCATGTTTTTAAATCCTGACGGTTTTTTGCACTATCAAATGAAAACGTAACAAAGTATGTTTTGTATCATTCATGTGCATATACATGCAGGTGTACAAATGCGTGCATGATGTCACCTCTTAGGAAATGGTACTTCAATTACGAAGCGCCCTCATTCGCTCATGCACGGCACGCATAGCATCCGTTGTGGCCATATTTATGTCTTGTTACAATAGTTTCAGAAATCTTTTACAATGTATTTGGCTCACTGAACAGGGGTAGCAGTGCTCTGACTTGATCAAAGTATAACCAATATCAAGTTACCCAAGAAATTAATAGTTCACAAGTATACACTTGCCACGTCCTGAAATGTACGAACATGTAATCAAGCACTCCTACAAAGTACAGTTTTACATGTAATCGTTATAAATGGGAAAAGGTTGGCATAGAATGCCCAACAGCAGTCCGGTCTGAGGATGTAAGATAACTCTGGCGGGAGCATAAATGTTATATTAATAGAAATCAAAACTCACTGAACCCTATCTTGTGTTGGGATAGCGCTCTTTACCACTTAACCTTTCCAAAAGGCAGGAAAAGGGAAGTTTCACAAAGCCTAGAAAATATCAAATAGTTCATCCCCCAAAATAGTCATGAATAGTTGCATTGTTAAAGAGGGGTTGTGTTTTCACTGTGCTGGGTGCGCTACCATGCGTTTACCGGTAGCTTAAGGGATGAAACTCCTTTTTTTAGCCTCAGTTGTGATGACAGTTGATGAGTTGGTTCTGAAACACTGTTTTCTGTGGGAAAAGATTGCGCTTGTAATCTGACGGGAATACTGTCTTGCACAGCTGTGTCATCAGTGCAACATTTTCTGATAAAAGTTATACTTACATGCACATGTACAGTTTATGCAGTTAGCATGAATCCATCTTTCCATAAGGCCTACATTTCCTGGGACATATACATGTATTTAAAGTAATTGATTCATTACTCTTCTTGGGCATTTAATGTACATTCTGATTTGAGGTCAGAACACAAAGAATCGGAACTTGTCCTTTGGTTGAAATTGTTGCGAAATGCACAGAGGAGATTTTTGTTGTGGGAATGTGTTTCTTTACAGTCTTCCAGTGTGAAAGATACATGTAATGTACCAGTATATGTACTTTTCTCAAGACCCTAGGGGGTTATGGTTAAAGAAACAATGAAACAATCATGGCCTCTGCTAATATGAGGGTTCTGCTAATATGAGGGTAAAGCATGAGAAATCCTGTACTTGTACGATTAATAAAACAGGCATCCAACTTTGCACAGATCGGCTGATTTCCTCATTTATCACTTCACACTCATGCCGTTGAAAAGCATTGTATGAAGTCTTGTAAAGATTGGAATTTCCCCGTTTCTTGTCAACATCCAAGTTGCATGCCTGATAAATGAAAGAGGATAACTTGTAACAGAAAGAAATGTTGCTCCAGCATTGTGCACATCGCATATTTTAATGGTGTCATTACCAACAGGTCAAGCGATCGACTATTCGGCCCATCGCATCTCCAAATATGACAGCTACATCCGCAAGTTGAAAGCAGGTGAGGCCATACACAAAGTCATAGGTCGAAGGCAGAGCGCGTCGCAGAAGATCCGGGACATTATTAGCACCCAGATCCATCGGAAGCATGAACAGGGCAGTGATGGGGCACCCGGAGATGAAGAGGAGGATAATGAAATAGTGAGTGAGAAGACAGCAGAAGCCTTCAATCCTATCGTCAACAACCACATCAAGACCTCCAAGTATGCCTCCAAGTACGACTACTTTCTCAACAAGCTCCGGAAAGGCGACGACGTCAACCCCTTCGAGATCACCCTGTCTAACGCAGCCTCGACCTCCGGCTCTGAGACAACCTCAAACAGCGGTCCCTCACCGTCCACCAGCAGCCATGGAGCACTGCTGGACTACACTGGCCAAGCGGGGGACCAGGGAAATCTGGTCATTACTGAGGAACCAGAGCAGCGCGAGCTATCCTTTGCAGAAGGGACAGGCAAGAGGAACATCTCCAATGGCCTGGCCAAGATGGTCAAAGATGAGATCACGCCGGGAGAGATGAATGTCTTCAGCAAGTACATCTCAAGGTACATGTATGTTGGCACAGTTTTTGATGTATGCAAAGTGAAGCTTTAAGTCCATTGTTGAATTTGTTAAAAAATTGTGTCAGCCAGGTGAAATTTTTGAATTTTAATTTAAATTATCATACCGGTATTTGATGATGTGTGCATTGATTTCAATGTTTTACAGTATTCTCAATTAGGAAATTTTTTAGTTCACCAAATCAATTTTAATCCAAAGTCCCTTTGAATTTGATGGTTGAGAATAACTTCACGTATGGATGGCCATTTGGGTTTACTTCATCACTGGCTCTGTAAAACACTGGTACTTTACTCCATTGATGTAGCCGGTGGGGGGGGGTGCACGTGTCCCCGCCACAAATTCCGGTGCCTCCCAGGTCCCCCCCCCCAAAAAAAAACGGATGAATGGATATTGAACAAGGCTGACATAAACTTGCCCCTCAAAAAGCACACCACTGAAAGCTGGTGCCCCCCATAAGATGCTGGTGCCCCCCCATAAGATGCTGGTGCCCCCCCATAAGACGCTAGTGCCTCCCATAAGACGCTGGTGCCCCCATAAGACACTGGTGCCCCCCATAAGATGCTGGTGTCCCCCCATAAGAC